GGCATTATACATCTCCTCTGTCATTCTGAATCAGTTTTTTCATTGTCTTCCTCCAAAAGTTCTGTAATTTAAATATCTTGATTTTCCCTTAACTCTGCTAATGTTCCTTTCAAAATGAAATAAACTTTTACTCATCTTTCAGAATTTAATTAATTTAAAAAGCATGTTAATACAAAACACTGATGGGAAATACTTCCTAAGTCCCAAAATGTAACTGAGCCAGATTCACTGCTTCCCAGTGAAAAACTGCTTTGTGCAAATATTACCTAACACTAGCTAAGATTTTATATTTTCTCTGAATGCCCTTGATAGGGAAACTAATATGCATATGTAAGGAAGTGCAAAAGTGAAAACAGCATTACTATATCATTCTAGTTAACAATCAGAGATATTGCATAAAACTCTGACATGTCGACCACTGACAGCTTTACTACCTCAATTCACAGAGAATATCACCAAATAGTAGAAGTTGCAGCTACATGAGCCTCAGGGAATGTAATTTCATTTATTCATTTCAGTGACATTTTCACTAGACTAAAGCTTCATGTAGATTAGTCAAACACATCAAAAACCACATATTAGCTGAGGTGAAGCTGTGATGACTGCAGTTGTCTAACAGTGTCAATCCGAACTTTAGATGAATATAATTTGATAGCTCTAAATGACAGAGATATAATATAGATCTCGTATAGCACTGAAGTAATAAATAATTAGTGAGCAGAACTGAGTAAAACAGCACATTGAACACACCCCCAAGTTTTGCATCTTGATGCAGAAGTCGGTGATCAGAACGATCCATCTTTCTGCCTTGAATGATAACACAGCTTTTTTACAACCCAGCACATAGCACCATCTGGCATAAACAGAGGAAACCAAGAACTTCTGGAGGAGAAGCACAAAAGCAATTTAGTTTCTTTGGGATGGTCTAAGATATTAACAAAAATTCTTCAGAAACAACATCTGATTACAAATGTGGCTCAGTGGACCTGTCTCCTGTAGAAATACTTGTATAGCTAATAATCTCGATAAAATGTTGTTGAATTGAACTGAATTGTTTGGGTATAGGATGGGTATTGTCAGAGTTAAGACAGCCTGTATAGAAAGTCAATTGTCTACCAAACTGGCTGGATTTCAGAACATTATCTCATGTCCCGTAATGGGGATTCTAGGAGCTCAGAATACACCTCCTCAGCAAAGCTCAGCAGGGTCTTTTCAGTGGTTAAGAAGAGTGACTACAAACACCGAGTTAATCTGTGCTTTGAGCAGTATCAGCACATGCATTACTGGCTGTTTGCTGGGGCTCAACATCCTCTGTGTGCAGTGGGACAGGAGTGTCTGATCACACCACCAGCCCCAAGAGGGGTTGTGGAGTTGTGCCATCAGAGGCACTACTGGAACACCCAGTGCTATGTGAGTAGCCTGAGATGTTTGTAGTACAAACACAACTGGAGTCTGCACTCTGGATGGCATTAGATTATTTCACTGATATTAGCACAAATTTATCTTATCACTGCTCTTTGAAAGTGACTTTTAACACAGACTGTTTTCCAAATGATCCTTAAAAGACACTCCTTTCTTCCTCATCACCTTCACCTAAGGCAGTAACATCCAGCAGCATTGATCTATTTGCTGCTAGTTTTCATTAATTTTACCCTCCCTAAGGGTGGTGCAGCTTTGGTGCCAGCTAATTAAAAACTATTTAGGGCTGTTCAGTGCACTTTATCAGACCAGAATTAACTCTGCTGCTTTAATGAAGACTATAGTTTTCTCTGTTATTACCAATTAAATGTTGTTGTATCATACTGCATTATATTTCTAACGCATGGCAAAGATATGCGTGGCTTTAGAACCACTTATCTGGATTGAGGTACATACAAAGATGCCATATTTAGTAATTACCTAATGTTTCCTTAAACCCTTTCACTTGACTCAATACACATACCAAAACATTAACGAAGTACAGGAAGAAGCTGCCAGGTTTATGCTCCCTCTTGGGAACTACCAAGCAAAATGCATTAATGAAAAATTGTGAATGTCTGGTAGTGAATATTATGTACAATTATTCAAAGAGGATGAGCATTCACCACCTTGAACTCAAATGCTTCACTAATGAAGAATCTCAGAAAGAACATATGTCTCCCAAATTCATAACACTGCATGCAAGGTTAATTGTCCAGCATGAACAGACCATATTACAGGGTATTTTTTATACTGCTGTAGAATTAAAAAATCCTTCATTGCAAAATAAACAAATTTTGTTTATTTTTTTGTTTGTTGGAAGCTATTTAAAGGCAATTCTTGTTTCTTCTATGAGCCAATAATAAATCATCTGTCAATATTAAAGCTGTGGGTTTTGAACCTGCACTCAGTGAAGTCAGGGATGAAGGTCCTGTCAGTGGTGCAGGACCAGAGCTCTTCTGAAGTAGAGAAGTGACTGCGACATGTACCTGTTAGCTGCTTGTCATAACACCCTTTAAAACCTGAGTACCACGAGGATGAAACTACTGAGAAGTCCTACTAATTACCTAAAAAGATGTACATCACAGAGTACAAATAGAAAGCTCATTAAAGGCTTGACAGACTGGAAATCTGTTGCAATTTTGCTATACATTAGTAACATACATTGTACATAAGGACAGTATTTTAGGATTAAACTAAAATAGATGTGGTTACAATCCATTCAGTACGTTTTAAAATATGAATTGAACTTGGTTTCCTTCCAGAATTTTTGCTGGAAACATGTTGAAACAGACCTCTGTTCAATCTAATATTGCAAGCAAGAGTTGATGTTTCTCTGAGGAACTGCAGGAATATTTGGCTGAGGAACCTGAGTCTGTCTCAGCATCATAATAGTCTGGCACAGCACGTGAAACTATTTTCATCACCCACAGATCTCTCATGCTCTCCCTTTACTGCCTCCACAAATGCCACATACCTCTAACAGCCCCATGGCTCTCCCTAGAAACAGCAGATGGGTCTTGTGAATTGAAGATGTCGCAGAAAATGAAAGTTTCCAAACTGAGGTCCCCTGATTAGTAGTGAATTGCAGGATGTTTTCTTGCCATAGAGAAGGTGTTGGCTGGTGACACAAATTCTTTCCCGTTTCTGGCTGACAAGTGCACTAAATGATGTTAAAAACACCACTTAAAATTTGACATGGAAAAGTAGGACTAAAAATGAGAGTTGCAGTAGATACAAAGATGTTATCTGATTGCCACTGTGAGAAGTGTTAGGGTTTTTTTCACAGTGTTAAAGGAAGGCATGTGCAAACATAATGTGATGTGGGTCATGAGGCAGGAAATTTGCTGCTGTTCTCAATGTGAAACATAGTTGTAATGCATCGAGGTGAAAGAACTTTTCCTACTTTGACAATAGGCTGCTTGAGAATTTTGTTCATAAGCACTGGGAGAACAGAAGTACAATCATGCTTTTGACATGAAAAGAAGCATTTGTATTGTGTTAATTGCATAATAATAAAGCCTTGAGATGTGGTAATTTGTTGAAGAGGAATGGATTAGGTTGAAGATGAGGATACTTTATCATTGGACGGTGAAATTTTTTGATAGGATTTACTAAGGCCTGGCCTCACCATAAGGATTTAGATGAAGTATTGTAAAGTCACTGTGACCTGACTGACTGTTAACAAGGAAGAGTCATAAATACAAGCAAATTTATGTTTAGCAATGTTATAACATACCCATGATCATATTTAGCTTGATTAATATGTAAAGTGGATGACCTGGATTATTAGAGGGTGTTTTTGAAGAATGGATCTTATGTGTTTTCTCTATTAGCCTCTGTTCATCAGCTTGCTTAGTGAAACTAAAGAAGCCATGATAACCTTGCCACCTTTATGACACATAGGTGCTCACTCCAACTCCAGAATCACAGCAGCAACATGTACACATGGTGAACCGCCTGAGGGCCAAGTTCTTCCCTATGTTTCAATAGTTTTAAAAAAGGAAAAATCAATTCTAACCAAGTTCTGACAGTTTAATAACAAAGCAAATCTATGAAAAGAGAATAAGCTCTTCTTCTTCAAAAGCTAAGTCAGAAGTTTGGACTGAGTTAAACTGCTGGTGAATATAGAAATATCTGTATTTGTAGCTTGGTCGGAATAGCTACAGTCCTTCAGAACTTCAAAGTCATGATATGCCATTTCCAAAATTATTACTAAGGCACAGCAGTAATCTAGAAACTCCTTCCTAGTTAAGCTCCAGTGAGTCTGTGTGACAGGTGCTCTTCCATACCAAAATACAGACAATCACAATTTTTCCCCCTTGGTTATGAAATCCTGCAATTTGTGGCCTCAATTCCACAAATCCAATTTCTGCTTTGAACATGCTAGCCAAAACAGTGGCCCTCACACTTTCATCTCCTTACAGCCCCCACTCAAGCAGCACAAACACACGTTCTTAGGCATGGAAAATAGAATTTCAGCATAAGTCTGGTAAAAACCTATATCTATTACAGTATCGCTGATAATCCATTTTCACCAAGAAACAGAAATGATGCCTAACCCTGAGGTTTGTGTTTGAAGAAAAGCTACAGTGAATCTCAATAGAGAAGGAAATACAATATCCAGAGTTATTATCCTGAGGTTGTGCATTTGGAAATGTTGTTTGTGTAGGATTATCCTCTTCAAATAAAATGTCAATCTAATCAATAGTAAATTGAGCTGAAAACAACATACAGCTTTGAAAATGTTTCAGGAAGGCATCCAATATTTTTGGGACTCAAGCCAACAGAAATGGAAAGAACAGAAGGTAGCGTAGGTGGGGTAAATGAGGCCTAGCTGCTGCCTCATCAAGTGTTTATAACAGTCAAAACCATAAAACAATCCATTAAAAACATATCTGGTGATTCATTTAGTAGCTGGCATCCAGCACAGACTTCTCTCACATATCTTTTGTCAAACATTATAATCATTCTTTAGGACAATAATTGGTCTTTAGGACAATAATTGGTCTTCAGGACAATAATTGGTCTTTAGGACTTACCGGTCTTTTCCTGTCTCCTTCTTAAATACTGCATCACAGTAACTCATGCGCTTTTCTGTTGTCACATATATTTTGGCAGTTGGGTAGCTGTCAACAGTTTTCTTCAACATGTTGTACACAATGCCATTTCCATCCTTCCTCATGTTTCGAAATGGTCCCCAGATCACGTATACAGTGTTGTTGGTTTCTTTGAAAAAGTACTCGGGATTCTTGAGTAGGAGAGGCACGCTTGTGTGAGAAACTACTCTTACAGTTGTCCTCTTCCCAACATCTTCCTCATAGCCCTTTGTGGGAGCATTGTTCATCCTCCAAATGCAGGAGGACTTGTCTATCTTGGTTCCCAACTTCTGGCCAGCCATCTGTCCCGAGTTTGAAACAATGGCACAGAGGTCACAGTCAAGTTGTAGAGGCTGGAAGAAAGAAAACAAAAATATACAGCAAGTCTTTCTCTGTACAACAGGAAGACCGAGAATAAAAACAGGCACAGTCCAACAGATTGATAGCAATGTTTCTCTTTAAGAAAACCTAACAATCCCCATGTGGTAGAGTTGGTAGAAACCCCTACGATTACAGAGCTCTGAATGCAATTCTTTTAGCAAAATAGGTGGTTTCAATCTTTTCCTTTGTTCTCCATCTTGCAAAGCCAACTACAAAAATAGTATTTTTTTTTTCCTCTAAATCCTACTCTTTCCACTAGTAAACAACAAAAGAAAGAAGCAGCAGAAAACAATATTTAGATCGATGTATTCTTCTAACATGGTGTTGTCAGCAACAGTAGAGAAAATGTAATGCTGGAAATTTAACCACACGCTGACTGTATTTATGCATCTGGATGAGTAGTTCGCAAATCTGTGGTAGAAGTCAAACATGAGATGTAACTCTAGCAGTATGAAAATCCTGCAGCTGGAAAGGAGATGTGGGCAGAAGACTATGTTGTTCTCTCCAGGGAATGGTTATGACTTATGAAAAATAAGAGGCTGATGGAATGGTGACACGTAAACTAGGAACTTAATGCTGGACAAGCTGAAGTAAAAGACAATCTTTCCTGATCACGTTCTAGGGTAATATTTCTCCAGTAAGAATTGAAAACAGAAAGAGTTATCTGTCTAACAGAGACATAGGGACCTATCAAAAGTTCCGTTTGTCAGAGTATAAAGAGTAAATATCCTTTGGTTCTTTTGTACCAAAAGACTAAAAGGAAATGCCCTGTCCTTAAGTTTAATTGTATGAAAAGTTTAGTTAGAGATCTAACTCAAAGGAAAATTAGATCCATTAAAAAAAAACCCAACAAACAATCCACACACACACCAAACCTACAGAAGACAGTCCAGTCCACAGGTCATCTACAATTCTTTGTATGGTCACAAACTTGATCTTTTGCACAAGTGGCTTCAGTTTAATGTTTGTTAGGAATAATTCCCGACATGTTCTTCAGACATTTAGCCTGACAGGATCCTATGTGCTTTTCTGATCAGACTTGTGGTTACGTCCCTTCAAAATCCCACCTCATTTAGCTAATGTGGATGAATATTGTGGCTACATTTGGCCACTACAACCTTAGGACATAATGTCTGACAAAATATCAAATTTCTTTGATAACGATGCATAATACAAGGACAAGAGATAAACATCTGAAGAGAGCCAAATTGTAACAGCCAGAAGATTTCATCTTTGGGTGACAAAGATTGTACTGAAGTAAGACGCATACTGCAAGACTTCTGCAATAAATCTCACAATTGAAAAGGTTTGATTTCTCTACTGTGATTGGTTTGATTTCTCTGAGTGATTCATGAAAATGTTCTTTCCTCATTTCATCAGGAGTTCAAGATGCCTGACTGCATGCAAAATCATTGGCAATGTTTCCTTTACAGAACACCATGTATTTCTTTTTATAGCTGTTGTAGTTTAGAGAGCTGTCCTGCGCAGCTCTCTGACAGCAAGAATGAAATCCCAGGAGATGCAGCTGAACACAACAGTCTTTCTGTTTACTGCTTAGTTACAGAAATACTCTCTAAGATACATTATGAGGACATGGCTGGGTGACCTAAACAAATCCATAAGCATAACTCACATCTTAACATGAAGTGAATTGTTAAAGTCCCAGTAGATTAATTTATGTCTTCCAGGGTGAATTTTCAAACTAACAAATGTTGAATATGAAACTGCTAGATAGGAAAAGCCAATTTGGTCAAGAATCCAGTCCCATTTAAATTTGTTTCAGCATCAGTGTTGTTTTGGGGTTTGGGTTTGGTTGTGGTTTTTTGGGGTTTTTTTTGTTTGCTTGTTTGTTTGTTTTTCTCTCCCCACAATATTCTTTCTTATCCATTAAAATGCTCTCTAAAATTTGGAATTTTTTGATTTTCTGACCTCAGTTAGAAATGCATTGCACATTTTCTATTCACTGAGTGTAACTGTTCTGCTTGAATAAACTGAGTACACTCACTCCTGCAATTGTGTCCCCTGGTTTTCTAGCTCTTTTGTTGTGATTCATTTATCTTGTTCCAATTTATAAAGCGCTTTCATAATATTGAATGCCTGCTCTAGGTCAACATATAATCTGCTCTTCTTCAATAGAAGCAGAAGCTTAACCCCTCCCAGCCCTATCTCAGAATAAACAGTTTTTACAATGTAGAGAAACTGTATGTGTCCTAATACTCATGTTTCCCAACAGAGATCCCAGATAGATTTAAAAGACTGACACCCATGACAGACATTCCACTGATATCAGAATCATCCACTGACTTCAGTATCTTTTTTGCATCATATCTTCCTCAACATATGAGAAAATACACATCAACATTCATTCACTGAACCCCCATATGCACACAAGACTGCAGCTTGTGGTGTTTGTAAGTGTTTATGTGTGTCACAGAGAAAAGGCGAAGTTTCAGTCATCCACATATAATAGCTTTCTCATTTTCCTCACTTAACATGACATTCCTGTTTGTTACTACACCATACCTCAGAAATGGCTGTCCATCATGTTAAGATTCAAAAGCTGCTCAAATGTAGCTCTCCTGCCAGCTGGCTCCCACAGGAGCTATTCAGGCACAGGGATTTGGGTGCCTAAGGGGCTGGCATTGGGAAGCACCTGGTTAGTTGTGGCTGCTGCTTCTGCTACTGAACTAAGACACAGTTGACAGCTCTGTATGACTCTTGAGGAGTTGAAGTGATGTGCTGTTGTCTCCCCTCACTCCACTCTTGAGTCCCACATCCCTCACTGTTTCCCATATACAGATTTTTGGTTGTAAGGTTGCCCTAACCTGCATGAGAAACCGCTGCTTTTCCATTAAACTTGCTGTATTGTTTGTATTAAGGATGAACAGAAGCAGAGAGGCAATTCTTAAACACAGAAACTGGAATACAGAGAGGTGGAAGCTGGAGAATTAGAGAAAATGTGCCTTCTAGGTGATCTGTTTTGCAATTAACAGTAAATGTTTACAGCTGTCCACACCACAAACATCAGGATAGCAATTGATGTGACACTAACACATCATGAGCCTTATCAAAGAAACCAAAAGTGCATCTGTCATGTAGTCCAGGCTGCCCTTCCATCTGTGGAGATGGTCCAGCAGCAATGGGATTGATACAGATTGGCAAAACCATACAGAAAAACCTGTGCTGTTACTAATTTATGCTCTCTGGACTGAGATGGGGAGGAAGAAGGGGGGTGGGGAGTGAGTGAGCGGCTGCGTGGTTCTGAGTTACCAGCTGGGCTTAAACTACAACGCTTTCACAAGATCTTAATTCACTTGCATTGTAGATATATGAGCTAAAGAAAAAAAAATGTAGAGAATCATTCACCTTTTCTTCCTTTTTCATGTATTTAGACATGTATTTCACCTCTACACACCACAGGGGCTAAGCTGTTATTGCTTCTAGAAAATCATTCATTTTGTCACTGACCAGAAGGATGTAGAAGTCCTCAGCAGAGCAGCTGGGCACGATTCTGACAAATTGTCCCATCTTTCTCCTGAATGATACATTGTAACTGTTGAGGAGCACTTATATTTTAATCAGTAAAGAAAATGAAATGTCTGACCTTTCCATTTCCTGTGTAAGCTTACAGACAATAGAAAAGATAATTAAAATTGTGAATTAGAACTTGCAAAACAGTGCTGTCGCTCTAGCAAAGAGAAATAGCTGTGTAATAAAGGTCACTTATCAAACAGTTCTAGTTATTAAATCTTTGCATTTAGCACTGAAGTGGCTTCACAGAATCAAAGGTCAAATCATTAAATAACAAAACCAGCCAGAATTAGAAAAGGTCACAAGCAAATCTAACTAGAAGTAGGTCACAAAACATGATTCTCTCCAACAGAGGATTTAGATATTTGGAAAATTGATTACTTTCCAATTTGAAACAACTCCTCCACCATGTCAAATGTCTCCACCAAAAGACCGAAATTCCAGCTACAGGACCATGTGTATGGGTGGATTTCCCAGTGGCACAGATTTCCCAGTGGCACAAATTGCCAGATTTCCCAACCGCAGACCTGTGGGTCTGCTGAAGTCCCAGGAGAGGATGATCTCAGGCCAGGTCTCTTAACCTCTTGCCTAAGACTTCAGCACAAGTCAGTGGAGTCCAACAAAACCATGTCTTGACATACCAGTCATATGCCAAGCTCCCATCTTAGCACAGACTGGCAGATTCACTCTTCAGTTGGACCAAACCTGGCTCAGGACCTAAGCAAATGTAATTTACACTGATGAAAAGCTGAATTTCTCTTGCGACTTCTTCACACTGCAGGTTGGTGGTGCTCTGGAGAGTTCATTCCAAACACCAACTCTGTTTTGCTCTGTGAATCCCACAACTAATCATACAGATAGTTAGGAAATTCAGATTAAACTTTCCCAATTGTTACTTTATGATTGTAATTTTGTAAATTAGACGCAATGCCCATTCATTACATAATGAGGCAATTATTAGCAGCTTGCCACATATTAATTTGCTCCTTTAATGTTGAAACAAATGAGATCTTTTCTTATAATCATCTTATTTGAGTGAATTCTAACAAAGCTGATTGAACAAAGCTCCAGAGAGACTTTCTTTATTTCAGTGCCATTTATCCTTCCACTCTTCTTGGACGCCTTTGGAGTTTTAGAGGATACAACATTTATAATGATGCCAACAGGGAATAGATTGTGCCTTTATTCTTCTTGATGTTCTTTTGAGGTCTTTGAAATGAAAGGTACAAGAGAGGCATTAACCGTCTGGCATTGTTTTTATTACTTTTCTCTACTTTACAAGCATAAAATGTATTTTAATTTTTTTCCGTGTTACAGTGATGATCAACCAAGCTGGATTTATCTACACTTACTCACTTTCTTCAGACCTCTAACTGGAAGGAAAGACTTGCCAGGCTTCTCTAAGACAAAATTCAGTGCATTTACAGAAAAGAAATATAGT